ATGAACAGACATTTAGCTAGAGAGTAGTGCTGGGCGGTATACCGGTTTGTACCGAATACCGTTTTTAAATTTTTGTTATGATATGAATTCATTGAATACCGACATCCCGGCTTAAAAAGCCTAAACAAGCTCAGAACGTTTTGTCACTGCCGCCAGTCAACTGTTGCCCAGAGTTGTAAAGTAATTAAGTACAAATGCTTTGTTACTGTACTTAAGTAGAAATTTTGGTTATCTGTACTTTACTTGAGTAATTTTTTTCAGCATACTTTTTACTTTTACTGCTAACATTTTTACACAATTATCTGTACTTTCTACTCCTTTCATTTTTTAAAAAGGCAATAAATAGAAAGTCATTACTCCTGTACACACTGTGTACAAAGTAATATGGTGTCAGAATGGTATTACTGCTAGAAAAAATATTTTTAGGGGAGGTCACCTCCCAATAAATGCCATTTTGGAAAATCTAACTGCTCACTTTTACTTGGTACTTTTACTTTTAATACTTAATTAGATTTTGTGTCAGAAATTTACTTTTGATGCTTAAGTATAAAAAATATCAGCTACTTTAAGACTTTTACCCAAGTAATATTCATAGAGAAGGCTAACTTTTACCAAAGTATTTTTATAATAAGATAGTAGTACTTTTACTCAAGTATCACTTTGAGTAAATTTATACAACACTGCTGTTTCCCGGGGGACACTTTTCCTCGCAGCACCACTATGCGCATTAGCAAGCTAATGTTATTGTTGGAGCAGCTCGTTAGCGGTGAGTGGCGATTCTGCTGCTTATATTGACTGATGTAAAAAAATATCCTGTTTTCACCATCACTGAACAGAGTAAACAACTCTTCAATATTTACAGATATTACACAAACACAAATAATTTATAGATATGCGCACAAACATACTTGTGTTTTTTTTCGATACCATAAAAAACGACCAGCCCACTGACGTGGTTCTGTACTCTAGTTATTACTGAGGGCAAGGTGTTGACTTTCTAATGGATAAAGGTGTCAGGATTCAAAGCATTCAGTCCAAAAGTGGGCTACTTCTCTATAAGTACAGTTGTACAGTACAGTATGTTTGAAAAAATGTCCTGCAAGTTTGTTGACATGTATGTAAACTTTAAGAAATGATTTAGCCCTTTTTATATTTTAATAAACAAAACATATAAAAAAAAAAACAAAATCATTACATTAATTACATACATTAATTCAAGTAAAATATGAGTGCAAAGGTCATGAAGGTCATAATGAATTATTTTGTCAATAATAATGAACTGTTGGGGAAAAAAAAAAGAGCCGTGGTGTTCGAGTTGCATTTTTCTTTTCTAGAATCTCATATATGGCATGAATCCACAGATCAAATACTTGCTCTCTGACCCCTGGATGCTTCTGTCTTTACAACCTGACATCGGACATGTAAGCAGGGTTATTGTGTGTGTAGGTTAACATTCCAGAGAGGCCACATGAGGTCCAACAAAATCTCAGAGCAAAGGGAGGAAGCCCTTTCTCACAGAGCTGCTCGGACACCCACCCACCCACCCCCCCACACACACACACACACACACACACACAAATGGGAAGCTTAACGCATCCCAGGGCTATTTGTGTGTCTATTCTGGCTCCTGGAAAAAGGGAAGTAAATGTTAGTAAGAAGTGTGGAATGCAGACGCTGATTTGATCAAGTTCCTCCATTCAGAATCTGGAAGTAAGGCGACTGGATGCTGGATGACATTTTTATACATATTGCTGTGCTGCCGTTTGCTAACGAGCTGAATGTGAAGCACACTAATGAAGCGGTTTTGTTATGGAGCACATATACAAGTAGTATTTATATCCTTGTTTTAAATATGCGTGTTACATGTTGAAATCAAAGCTCAGGGATTGTGTATTTTATTCATTTGACACTAGCGTTAACTCCCACAGGGCACAGAAAACTGTCAGCAGATGGCCTCATTAGAATAAAAAACAACAGGGCATAACTCCTCCACAACTTCATATGGTGGAAATTTGAGATAAACTTGTCAAGACACGACAAACATGATTCTCAGGAGACGGACTGATTGGATAGATAGTATGACTTGGAAAAAGCTGAAGAATGTCAGGGGAAAAAAACCTAGTACCCTGCCTCCACCTCTGTATCTTTGACTCTAATGTGTCCTTGACTCAACTCACATCCAATCCCAAACAGCAGACAAACGCAGTCAATACCATCTTACTTTTGTTTCTAACTGGCTGAAAAACCATGAAAGAGGGGAAGGACAGAGGAAGACACTGCAGCCTGGCCACTATAAAAGAGGCAAAACGTTATGGCTCAAACAGCAGGGCAGGAAGAGAGATGGTGACATGTGTAACAAAATATGAACTCTGCCACCTCAGAAACAACGCCTACTAACCCTGTACTCTGTCATGGTTTACACAGCTGCAAAATCAATTTCACCCTGTTAAAGGCAATACTTCAGAGGTTCAGTGTAATGAAATCAGGAAGCTGTTGTATACACCTTGTAGACTGCAGGACATACAGCATGAACTGAAAGAACTTATATCCAGTGGTGGACAGTAACAAAGTACTTTTACTTTATTACTGTAATTAAGTACATTTTTTGAGTATCTTTACTTTACTTGAGTAGTTATTTATTTGGGAACATTTTACTTTTACTCCACTACATTTCTAGGAAGCTTGTCGTTACTCGTTCCTTTTTGATCAGCATGGCTTTATAATCCGCTGTAAAAAAAATCTGTTGTTCCGGTTTTTCTTTTCATGAAATGCAATTGGCCACAAGCTATGTTCGTCACAAAGGTAACCAATCACATGCGTAGCTTATAGCCTACGTCACACTCATTAACTCTCGGTAGCGGAGCGCGCGCTCCCATCACTTTACTTTCATTTCAAGCAGAACCAGACAAAAGAAGAAGATGCAATGGAGACCACTGATGAAACGCAAGGAGAGAAACCAGCACACCCATGGCCACATCTCAGTTCAATGTTCGAGGTTTTAGGACTTAAAAATAATACGTATCAGTTCAAATGTCTTCTCTGTTTACCACGGGTAAAGTACCTTTCAGCATTCCATAACTCACCATCTAACCTGAGAAAGCACATTGAGGTAAGTCAGCAAACATTTTTCTCACTAGTTTAAACGCTTTAAATGAAGTTGACTTTGGTTAGGGTGGTTGTGGTTAAATGCTGTGAGAGATGATTGAAAAATAGCCGACCATTGTGTGCTAACTGCTAGCTTAGAGCACCGTGCGGGTGCCCCTTGGGGCTCTGCACTCGGGATTCCTCTCGGGCCCTTGGGCTCTGGTCTTCCCTATGTCTGCCTCGTGTCTTGGGGGTTGGGTCTCCGGTCCTCCACAGTCACTATTAAATATTCCATTGGAGAAATCTTGTATATACACGCATGTTCACAACTGCTCACAAACAGGTGTTCTGATCCGGGGGGTAGGGTTCTGACAGGTCACTGAGTGTGTATATATGTCTGTGTGTATATACTGACAATATTTATGAATGTAGGCATGTATGTATGTATATCTTTATATATGTATGGGTATGTGTATATATTTATATATGCCCTCCATGTAATTATCCATTTATTTTTCAGGTGAGCGGACAGATGTTGGGTGTGTGGTCCTGTGTTTTGTTGGTGTATATTTAATATACTTCTAATCACTATTTCAATCTTTCTGTCTTTCTAATTACTTCTCTCTCTGATTCTCTCTGTCTCTATTTTCTCTTCACTTAAAAAAAGTCACTGATGATGAATAAATAAACTAAATAAACTAATATTTAGTTTAGTTTTCTACTGAAGTGACAAGAAAAAGAAAAGAAAAAAAGAAAATGTAATTTGTACTTTTACTTTGTACTTAAGTACTTTAAAATGCATGTACTTCTGAATACTTAAGTATTTTCAAAAGTAAGTACTTCAGTACTTTTACTTGAGTAGATTTTTGACTGAGTAACTTTTACTTGTAGTGGAGTAGATTTGACCATGAGTATCAATACTTTTACTCAAGTACTAGAGTTGAGTACTTTGTCCACCACTGCTTATATCCTTATTTAGTCACTGTTCAGTGTCCCAAAAACTTTAGCCAAACCTTTAATAGCCATCTCACAGACAATAAGGTTTTAGTTTATAGGAAGTAAACTTAAATGTAAATTACCTCACACCTTAACTACAATAATAAACATATTTGCACACTTAAAGGGGACATGAATTACTGTAATGGAGTCATTTAATGAAGGGTTTTAATATACTGAAAAACAATTATTAGTATAATTATTTAATCTAGAAGGAATATTATCGAGATGTGAGAACTGACAGGCAAATATAGTAAATATACAGTATTTTATATTATTATATGTTTAAAAAAATCCCAAAGTAATTGATGAATTTATAAGGCTCAGGCTTTAAATGTCATACTGATAGGTAGCCATTAGAGGGCGGTAGAGAACCACATTGCAACTCAAACATCTGAGCAGTAAATAACACAGATTGTTTATTAATGATCAGCCAGCATCACGTTAAAAACAAAAAATAACATGTTTATTAGTTTATAAGAGGAAAGAAAACACATATCTGTGTTATGTTTCCACTTATTTTAAACTGAATGTATAACATTTTCTCTCCATGCACATGTGGGTTCCTCCAAAATCCTCCCACAGACTAAGAATATGTATGTTGCATTTACTCTCGCAAAGTGACTGTTGGAGACTGAAACCAGTTCTCCACGACCTGAAAAGGAAAAAGAGGATGGATGGAGGAATGGATGGGGCTTTAGTTGTTCAGTGGCTGTTACATATTTCTACACCACCAGGGGTCACCCTCACACAACTAAAGGTGTTTCCTAGTGAGGAGCTTTCTGTCAAGCGCAGAGCCAAATCAGTGCTGTCACTTGTTGCACTAAGAATGCCAGTGGTGAGACATCTTGCATGTCAGTGTGAAAAGAAAAGTCAAATAAGAAAAACTAGTTTCACAAAGAAAGACATTGCCAACTTACAGAGTGAAGATGAGGTAGGAACCTCTCTAGGTCATTCATGTCTATCCCATCATCTTCTGCAAACATGTTTTTGTTCATACTGAAAGAAAGGAAGCATGAGACAGTCACATCACAAACTTTACTGATCAGGAGTATGCATACACACATAAGCTAGGCAGGAAAAGATCTTCAAAGCCATAGTGATGGAGGGAGCAGGTCAGCACCAGCTCATCCAGGTTCTAAACATACACAGTACAAGTCTTACCCCTCTCTGTCAATGTGTGGCAAAGGTTTTGGCATTCCTCTGAAGTTTTTCATATGAAAATGGCTGAAGTCAAGCTTCTCTGGCTGCACATCCCAACCTGCACCTCTGCAGTAAAATAAACAACTTTAGTATTAGTGTGTGACTAAAGAAAGGCAGGAAAATAGATACAAATAAAATTAAAGATGACGTTCAACATCTGTGTTCTTTACTTCAATCAATTCAAGTTTGCAAAAATACAAATCTCTCTGTTTTTTTTAGCTTTATTCTTTAATGTGTAAACAAACCATTTTGCAACATTAGAACTGGGTGTGTTTGGAATAAACTTTGATAAACCAACATATTAGCGTGCTGCTTTGTTGCGCAAGCTTTGCTCAATTTTCTCAACATGACACGAGAAGTGCAAAAAGAGTGTGCTGTGCTATTTTTACCACAAAGACTTGATTAAAAGTGCAGAAAAGATGTAATCAATATCATCACTGTCTGTGTGAGGGCAGAGCTTCTCACATTATCCCACTCCTCTGGCTGCGTGGCTCAGATGTGCCAACGTGGCCAAAATGTAGGTAAGTGAAGCTGCTGTGCATGTATTCATGACAACCCATTTTTCCACCAGTTTTTTTTTTATTGTTTGTTTTTCTTTCATCTTTATGTCCAATTTTACAGCTGTTGGAAAGTCGTTGGAAACTCATCCTGCAATTAATATAAGAAAAATTTAATATAAGAAATAAACAAATAAAAAACAAATACTTCTGTTAATGTTAGTGAGGATCTAAAATAACTTAGAGACAGGCTGATTTGGGCAAAGTTTTTCCTAAAATATTAAGATTTGAGACCTAAAATTCTTAAAAGAAGCAAGTTATTTTCTTAATGTGAGAACGTGTCTTAAGACTGACTTAAAAAAATCCTCATCAAAACAAATGTGACTTTTAAACTTGACTTTTTTTTGTCTGACATTTACTACGATAAAAACAACATTTGTTAGCAGATAATGTTGGAAATAAAAGCTAGTAAGTACTGTTTTTTAATCTAATGTACATAAAATAAATTTTAATAAAAATACAGTCACCATTTATCTTAAACTCTACATTAAGGCAGCTGAAAAGTCAGGTTGAGGGGAAAAAATCAAAGTTAAGAAAGAGTAAAAACAAACTCAGTTATCATTCATTACAAAGTATGAGCATAAAAGAAAACTGCTATCAGACATTTTTTAACCAAATAATCCTTCAGAAACAATTACTAGAATCCAAAGCTTCAAACAGTCAAGTACCCACCCGTGTGAGTCCATAGTGTTTGCAGCCCAAATATCTGTCCCCAAGATGTCAAAGGAGCAATCTCTGTTTCCATTCTAGGACAGAAGAAAAACGCAGAAAAACAGCATAAATATTTTCAGTGGAACTAAAACATCTTGGTGCTATAGGGTACACCTTTACACCTTAGCACCATTATTAAAGCTGAGTTTAAAAAACAAAATCAGAAACAAAGTGAGCAACATTTTGTCTCTAATATGAATAAAACTCCAAGGAAGGCAAATTCTGAACTCCTAATGAACACAAAGGGACTGTCAGTACCTTTGCAGAAACTTTGAACTGGTTGTTTCGGCCTCTGCTGCCGGAGCGTGAGCCGGATCCAGGTCTAGACCCTGAGCTGGGCCTAGAGCCTGAACTGCCATTACTGCTGTGTTCCCACTCATCCTGCAGTGTTGAGAGCGAGGAAGAAAACGTATCAATCTGATGGACAAACTTGTTTTTTTCATAATAAAATTAATATAAGAAAATTTTAATATAAGAAATAAACAAATAAAAAACAAATACTTCTGTTAATGTTAGCGAGGATCTAAAATAAAGCAAACATTTGACATTTATGTTTTGACTTAATGTGACCAGATATTAATGTCTCTCATGTTGCTGACCCCTGACTTTGCTCTGTATCTTCATTTTTGGTTTAAGTGTGAGTCGAAAGTAAACAGGGGGGCTTTTATTTAAACTTCACTCGATAAATGAAGCACATCAGCCTAAGTGTTTGATTTAAAATACCACCTTGTTTGTGCGACCACAGTAGTTTGTTCAGACTGTTTATCTTGTGTTCACCTGATAAGACCAGCAACTCATGCTTGTTAGAGCCGCATAAATTCCTTTTATTTTTTTCCTCAAATTCAGTTTTTTACATAACCACATTTCTTCGCCCAAAAAGGTTGTTTTATAGTGATACATTAACTTAATTAGTATTAATTTGATAGAGATAGATAGATAGATAGATAGATAGATAGATAGATAGATAGATAGATAGATAGATAGATAGATAGATAGATAGATAGATAGATAGNTAGATAGATAGATAGATAGATAGATAGATAGATAGATAGATAGATAGATAGATAGATAGATAGATAGATAGATAGATAGATAGATAGATAGATAGTTTTGATATAAACAGAATCTCAAAACTGAGACTCACACTTACAGGTTTAGAGGAGCCTCTTCCTTGTGATGATGTCCAACTACCATCTATCTTGTCCGTGCAGTCATCTGTCCACTGAAAGAGATAAAGAATAAAGTCATGCAATTTTTTTGTTTCCTTTTATTAAAGGAGACATATAATGCTTTTAAATCCCGCCTTTTCAGATTCAAATCATTTAGTTGGTCTTTATAAATTGAATTTCTCCCTACTGTAACTCCACAAGCCCCTCTTTCACACCTTTTCTGAGGTGTGTCTCAAATCAACTCGTTTTGACACTGTCTCTTTAAATCCAAATGAGGCACTTCACACTCCACACCCCTCCAGCATCCAGGGTGGTCCATTTGAGTTTGGGAGAGGGGTTTACAACAATATAACTGCTCAGAAATATTTTAGTTGCAAATTAATTAAAATATGTCAACAAGAGAAGACCAGCGTTACATGTTGGAGCCAGAGTTTGACCCAGAGACAGACGAGAATGAAGACGACCAAATTGCAGTTGGTAAGTCCAGACCTTCACAAATACTGTGATGTAATAGTTTAGAAAACATCATAGAAAAAAAGGTTGAAAAATATCACCAAACAGAATATAAAGATATCTACGCAGCACCAGGAGAGACTAAATTAAAAAATTTTCACTCTCAGAGACTCCAAGTACAACAAAATGTATTAAACAAACGAGCTCACAGCCTGTTGAATGTGACTTCTGGCCAATAAGAGGGCGAGGTGACGAAAACAAGGAGAGGGATCCAAAATACAGAAAACAAAACAACTGCAAGTCAGGTGTCGAAGATTTTGCGTTTTGTTTTTTCTCTTTTAAAAATAGACCTCAAACTATCGCCATCGCTTTTTCCTCTTTTTTTTCTTCTTCATTTTGCGAGATTTTGTGTATATACACCACACACTGTAGGACCAAACCTGTTATATCAATGAGTGATGGTCATGTGTGGGTTTCTCAGTCTTTGAAAATCAACTCAGTTATAAAATCTTGCCGTGTGAACCAGGCATAAGAAATCAAATCAGCACATGGAGAATATGATGTCCTCCACAGTTAGTAGTAAAACCTTTACACATTATAAGATGACTCTTATTCTACACATTTAGCCTCTTAGGTTTTTACATTCAACACAGTGATCATAAAAACAAAGTGGATAAACTAGTTAAAATCACTGAGTTTAAATGAAGGTTACAATAGCTGTTTCGAAGTAGGCTGTAAGCCTCTGGTTTGTTATGGTACACACAAAACAGTCAGGGCCTATTACCCCAGGAGCAACACATTTAAATTAGGCTCAAACCTGTGGTTCTTTGCCACCGCTGTCCAAGTCCAAGTCTCCATCTGCCTTGTCTTCCAGAAGCCCCTGCACCTGATACTCCAGCACGTAGCTGTCGATGAAGCGCTCCAGCTCTTCTATCTCCTGCGAGCGTGTGCTCCCAGCTTCAGACGATGCAGACGCCACTGAAGAGCTCTCCATGGCAGTGGTGGCTGGGATGAGAGGAGGGGGAGGAAAGGGACCTGTACACAGACAAGAATAAAGACATAGAGAGAGCAGTTAGGTGAAAATCAGCTTTCAAGCTATTAAGTGTGATTCAATCAGTCCTGGAACATCAAAACATATCAAAGGTGAGCAAACGACTTAAGAGTAGAAATCATCAATTAAACTTTAATAACATACAGTCCATTGAAGCCAAGGTGTTAAATGAATTTAAGAATCGAAGCAAATGGTTGACAGTTCTCACTATAGGTCGACTGATACATTTGCCAGCCGATAATTTTTGTCCAATATTTGCATTTTTTCCTTGTATCATATCGGCCGATTCGTTCATGCATTTGGCCGATCCATGCCTTTGATCATGCAAGCGCATATATTGACGCGGCTTGTTGCCATCAACAACAAGGGTTAGTTTTCAACTTTTAATGTATTTTATCTATCTAATTTAGCAGTGCCTGCCCTCTGTCTCGGACAATGAGGCGGAGAGAACAGCGGTCTGTTAAAGAGTAACTTACCCCAAAATTAACTTTTTTTAGCTGATAAACTGTCTAGAATGTGTCTAAAATGTTATATAGTACTGTTTCTGT